AATATTAATCATTACTTTAATTAAAATTAAAGATGACGTTGCAAATAGTTGCAACTATGTGATGCTTATTTGTCACTGGTTGCAACTAGTTGCAACTCAATTTTTATTAATATTACAACTAGTTATAATCCTGTAATGCTTATTTGTTACTAGTTGTAACCAGTTACAATGCCATCTTTAATTAAAATATATAATATTTTAAGTTATAATTTAAATTAATAAAAGTTAAATCTAAAAATATAGTATCTTAAGTTATTAATTTAAAATTAAAATAATAAATAACTTGAGTATTACAATTATTATTTAAAATCAAAATTAATTATTTATTAAAATTTATATTGTAAATAGAATAATAAATAACTTGAGTATTACAATTATTATTTAAAATTAAAATTAATTATTTATCAAAATTTATATTGTAAATAGATTAATATGATATAATAAATTTAATACAAATGATTTATAAATCTGATATTTCTAAGGCTTATCTAAAGTTCTAAAGTAAAATAGTTTTTGCTAGTATTAAAACATTAAGAAATTAATTAAGTAATAAATAGGAAAATTGATAAATAGAATTTTACTATCAAAAAATTCAAAGTGCTTAGAATACTTAATAAAATTAAAAATAGTAAAATATGATATAAGTAATAAATAATTTACTATGATCATATGATCTACTCTGTTTAAATATTTCTTAATTTAGCATAACTGATATTTTTAATGATTAATATAATAAATATATATTATATTAATATATTAAATAAAATAAACATATAAAATATATTTATTATATTAATTTATATAATTAATTTTATATAAATAAGATGCTAAAATCATAGAATGTTTAGAAAATTTAATAATAATTAGTTTTATTTTTTATTAATTTTCTTTTAGTAAAGATAATTAGTTTATTACATATCTTTTAATTTACTTTCAGTTTTTTTAATTATCTTTTAATTTTTATTTTCTTTATTATTTTTTTAATATTATCTTTATCTTTTAATTATTTTCTTATTAATAAATATGTTTTAAACTAAATTAATTAAAGCTTTTATATTTTAAAAAATTATTTTATTTGTAATTAATTATTTAGTAAAATTAAAGTATCACTTTTATGATTAAATTACTATGTAACTTAAAAAGATTTTATTTTTCAAAATTTTATCTAATTGCTACTGTTTATAAAAATTATATATTAACAAATTTATAATTTATTATAATTAAATTTAATATTAAATTAAAGATATTTCAATTGAAATTTTAAATTAATTACTTGAATTTCAATTTTAATTTTGAATAATATAGATTTATATTAATTTAAAATTATAATAGATTATAATTTAGAATATAAAACTAATATTTAATTTACTAAATCTATATTATTTATAATTTTAAATTTATTTATATTATATAAATTATTATATATTTTTATTCTTTAATTTTTAACTAATTTACTTTTAATATATAAATAGTAGATAAAAGTATTTTAACATTATTTTTTATATTAAATTGCTTAATAATAACTGATTTTTATATTTTATAGATAAAATCTTAAAATATATTATATTTAAATTTTCATATAATTTGAATCATTTTTTTTTAATTTAATGAGATTATTTTATGTTAGTAATTGTTATAATACATAAGCTTTTGAAATATATTAAAAGATAATTATTTAAAAATTTATAAAAAAAATTTATTAAATTTATATATTTTTATTATTTTTTTTAATATTTAAATAATAATTAAACTAAAGTTATAGCTTTTAATAGAATTTATAAATTTATTTATTTAATTAAAATAAATAAAACTAAATTATATAATGTTTTATTATTTTAAAATTTATAAAGATTTGCATTTTTAAAATTTTTTTTAAAATAATTTTTTAAAATATATATTATATTATAATATAAAAAATTTACTTTTTACTATATTGATTATAATATTATTAAAATTTATTATAAATAAGATCTTTTTATTATTCTAATCTTTAATTCAATTAATATATAAATATTTAAACTCTTAAAATAATTTTTAAATTATCTTAAAAACTTTTAAATAAAATTTAAAATAATTTCTAATAAAGTTATATATTTATTTTTATAATATAAAAATTAATAAATAAAATAAGATGTTTTTATATTAAACCCTATAATTTATTTTTTACCATCTTATTAATTTTATTATCTTATATTAACTAAATACTTCAATTTATAATAAAATAGTATTTATTCTAGAATTATATAATTTAAGATATTAATAAATATAAATATAAATTGTTTTATAACCTTTTTTATTAATAAATTAATTGTAATTTAATCAAATATTTATAAAAAAAACATGATTTTTTTTTTATATATATATAATTTAGTATCGTCTCGGGTTTCGATTCTAACATTCGATTTTGTTTCGATTTTGTTTCGATTAAACGATATTATTTGCAAAAAAAAAAAAAAAAAAAAAAAATTGTTTGTCACAATAATAATTTTTTTTGATATATGATAACGAAACCTATAATAAACGACAGAGCGCCGATGTTGAGTCAGTACCTTATCTACGTTTGATTAGAAATAGAATTTCAACATCGTTAATAAATTCAATTAAAACCTAAACCTTTTTTTCGTTGAATAATAATCATAAAGAACCGAGCGTAACAATATGGAGGTTCAGATCATCAATTTAGGTGTCGGAAACAATAGACTATTTTTCTTTGTAAACGACCGATATTATAGCCGGTACTTACTGCGCCGCTAAAAATAGATTTCAATTTTTTTATTCGATTATTGATTCAATTTTCGAAAATGGATTTTATCATGTTTATTATTATTTTAGAATGATATTTTATAGAATGCATTTATATTAATCCAAAAGAAAATTCTAAGCTTTTCATGATTTGAATTTGATGATCCCTAACCGAAACTTTACCCGATTCCCATTACTATAAAAGAGCCGAGAAAAAAAAAAATATTTATAGAAAGAGTTTAGATATTATTATCTAATCTCTATATTACCTCTTTATTTGACTATTCCTACAATACATATACTTATATTATTTTATTGTATTGTATTGTTTGTTAAACGACAATATATAAAAACGTAATATTTTAATTATTGATAAAACCAGCCAATTAATTCTTCCTGTGGATATTAATTACAACTTTGATCGACTATTACCATTCTTTTCTGTTTTGTGATTTTGAAGACAAATTATAAGTAATATAACCATGCCACCAAAGAATTATCGGAATAAGAAGGCCACTTTTACCCGCGGTGGTGGGCATAAGTTTACAAATCCACGACGCCTTGCCGCTGCAAGGCAGGCTGAAGAAGAGGAAGGAATGTGGGGTGTAAGTTTGACAACTAAATAATTCCTTTCAATGATATATATATATATATGTTATGTAAAATAAGTTTGATTTATTTTTTTATTAAAAAATGGGGTTTCCATTGAAGAATTCATTTTTATTTATTTATTTTTTTGTATTGGTGATGTTTTGGTTTAGTATCGAGATAAGAAAGAGGAAGATAGTTCTGAGGAGGAAAGTGATGAAGGATCTGAAGATTCTGGAGAGCCCAAAAGTTCTAAAAAACCTGGCGAGCAAAAAGAAAAGTCCAAAAGTTCGAAAAATAAGGAATCGCAACGATCCGATGATGAGTCGGAAGATGACGACGACGACGATGATGATGATGACGACGATGATGTATGTGTTTATTCTTTACCTTTAGGTGTAATTTAACTCTTTAATGATAACTAATTATTTACGTAAATTGATTGAACATTACAATAGGATGATCGTCGTTCGAAATCATCAACATCAAAAGTTATTGATATAGACAATCCAAATAGAACCAAAAAGGATAATTTGAAAGCTTCTGAAATAACGAATTCACCAAGGGAAATGTCTCGAAAAGAAAGGTAAAATTCTATATGATTTTAATCAGTTATTATTGTTGTTATTTTGTTTTGAACCATCCTTCGAAATCTCTACGGAAGAAGGTTATCAATTTATGATTTATTACATTGTATAGAGAAGCTGCTGAAAAAGAAGCTGCAAGGCAAAGATATTGGAAACTTCATTTAGAAGGTAAAACCGATCAAGCTAAATCAGATTTAGCAAGGTTAGCTGTTATCAAGAAACAACGTGAAGAAGCGGCTTTGCAAAGAAAAGCAGAACAAGAAGGTAACATCTATTTATTTTTATTTATATTTTTTTTTTTTAAGACAGAATATTTAAGGATGGGCTAACTTTTTTTTTTAAAATTATCTTAGCTAAAGCTGAAGCACAAAAAATAAAAATAGCAAGTCAAGGGCGTAAAAGTAAAAAATAATCGCAACATTTCTCTGTTGATCAAGAAAAAGAAAACCTTTATTTATTTTATTATTTTATGTTAATTTTAATAACTTTTTTTTTTTTTCAAAAATTGATGTTTTAAAAAAAAAAAATATTGGAGTAAAAGTAATGCAATGACACATTGGTAATTATATTGATTTAGAAAATTTGTTTATCAAGGTTTATTAGAAAATAGACTATATATTGGGAATGTAAAAAATTTATTTAATTTATTTAATTTATTTACAATCCAAGAATCAAATAAATTATAGTTCAAACCGATTTTTATTATTATAACAATTATAAAAAACACAATTAATTATTCCCTTAAATTAAGTCAGATTTTATATATTTATACAAAGATAATAATAGTAATAATAGTAGTAATAAGAATAATAATAATAATAATAGGCTACTGAATCAATCAATAATAACAATAATAGAAAAATAAATTCAATATATATTGTATATATATTAAATAAACAAAAGCCAAAAAAAAACTAATATAATTCTTTAAATGTATGTATAATATGTAATTCTACAAATTATTATACCAGATATATATATATTTACACGTGTATATTAATTAATCCTTTCAATTAACATATAAATTTAAATTATTGCTCCAAAATTGTTCCTTCGAAATAAAATTGTTTTTGCTTAACTTTATTATCTTCCAAACGTAATACTAGTATCAATTTCGTCATAATCTTGTTGATACATGTCTCCTTGAACTTTAGCTGCGAGTACAGCATCTTTGCGTGTATTAAGATGTAACAACGTAGATTTGAAATGCCTAACAACAAATTCGGAAACATTGCCTTCCGGTTCAACAAGTGCTGAAGAGGCAGATGTTGGGGGGTGTTGATCTGGGTTATCCATGTTTGTTAGATTTGTATTGATTAAATCTATCAACCCGTTAAGATATTTCACATTAACCTACAAGAGAGAAAAGGTGTCATTATAAAAAAAAAAAAAAAAAAATTCTTTATGAACAAAAATGCTTACGGCTTCGTTCTTTCTTTCAAAGTAATATATATATCTATTCAAAATTTCCACGAACAATTCTACATTCGTAACCGAGTCCATACAAGAATCTGCGATTTTGAGTGCTTTCTGTAAGCATTCAAGAACCCTCTTACCATCTCGAAATAATTCCTAGTAAATAAAAAGGAAAATAATTAACCATTGTATATATCTTTATAATAAACGTAAGTCTTAAATAATACCTCCGCCGGTTTAATTCTTCTCCCTTCCATCTCAGTGGCCCACCATAAATGACTAGATAGATACACTGCTCGACATTGATCAGGTTTTTTCAACAATTTACTACCATGCAAAGCACATTTGGTAATCAGAGTATCGTAATTCTCTTTACCAAATACACGAGTGGTATGTAAAGTACCAATAATAAGTGTGATGGCTTGGAACTGGGCACGTGACTCGGAAATGAATTCTTCATAAATGGTGAATGCCTTCAAAATAAAGTATCATTTAGTAAAATAATGTTAGTGCATAAAATTATATGTATTAACTTGATGCCTACTTGTACGAAAAATTCGTAGCAAATTTCTTCGAAACCACACTCGTCTGCACTTTGTCCCGCTAGGAGAAACAATCGTAAGCATATATCTGAACATTCAACTTTCATATGCAGAATTGATATAACTTGATGAATAAATTTGAAAAGAGTTGAGGTTTTCTTATCCCATCCATCTTCCTAGATTTGTGAAATAAAAGATGATTAGTAAAAATATTTTACATTGTGAAGGAATCGTTAGCGTTATAACTAATACTTGCTTGATCTTCAAGATTCCGGTACCTCCTTGCCAACTTCACTGCAGATACAATAAGGGGAGGAAATGTGTATCGTATCCTTTCGCCACCTTCGTTGAATTGTTTACGAGCAGTTGAAAGGAGCTGACAAAATTTAATAATAAATAAATCAATTGTTCAATAACCGAAAAAGATAAATCTTAATGTTTAATCTTATACCAAAAATTGGTTATCAGGATCACTACTCTTGAATAAGTGAATAATTCTTGCAAGCCATCCTTGTTCCTCTGCAAATTCTTCAGGATCCATAATTGGTGGAACACCATTTGACCTTGTACTTCTTCCACTTGTAAGACCACTGAATGGACTTGAAAGTGTCGCGTCCTTTTGGTCACGAATGAGAACGTTACAAAGGTCTAAAATTCCACTAACTTCTTCAGGCGTTTCAATAATGGTCTCATTTTTTAGAATAGAAGCGACAATTGCTTGAGCAACCGAACGACGTGTTTGGAAAGGCTGAACTGCCAGAAGAGCAGCGTAATTAGGTAAAGCAAGTAGAGTAAGAGATGTGGTGTATGATTTTATTGGAGCTAATAGAAGGTTAAGTAAATTTGAAGCTGTGATAGAACTATGAAGATCGGGACTTGATTATGAATATTGAAAAAAAAATTATTGATTAGCTTTTAGTGTAATGAAATAAATAAAATTTCAAATATCAAGCGTAAGGCATACCTATCGTGGAAGTCTAAAACTTTCTGCTTGGCGAATTCAATGACTTGGTCAACATATTCAATCTTGTCAGGGTAGCAACTCAATGATAAATTAACTAAAGATACCAACAAGGCAGTGATATCTTGAATCGATAAGTCCGGACGAGCCTGAAAATTAGAAGAAAAACATGATAGTAGGGAAAAATTGTACAACTTATTAAAATGTACAAATAATTTGATTACAATCCTTACGAACCTTAACCAAATCAACAATTTGTCCCCAAAAAACTTCAAAGAGTTTAACATCCTCAGGGATACCACGGAATTTCTTGGGTTCATCAATTCTATCCTGTTGTTTGATCTTATCTGGCTGGGTCTCAGATGCCTGGTCATAATCTTCATTCCCATATGTTTCTTCAGTATCTTCCCTCGTCTCTTCATGTGAAAAAGATTCATTTGATTGTGACTCATCATCTATATCATGATACCCTCCAATGTTTTGTCTTTTCAATTTTTCCGCAAGCCTTGTAGCGGCTTCTTCCTCCTGACGCTTAATTACTTCAGGTGGTTCAGAATCGGCTTCACGAGCAGCATATGCAGCTAGACGATCTATAAGTGCAATTACGACTTGCTTAACATTAACTTTTGGATGAAGCTGTGCTGTGGCTGACAAATATGGTCCAAGTGTACGAAGATGGAAATCATCATGGAACACCTAACCAAAGGGTGAAAAAAAAAATTAAAGACGACATATAATAATATATATAAATACGAATCATAATATTTCAAACGTGCATACCTGAATGATCACTTCCATTAAATACTCTTGCGCGATAACGTCTTTACAATTAATAACTTGTTCTAAAATAGCCGGCAGTATAGTCTATTTCAATAGCTTAGCATTACTATTAATGAATTTACAATAAAATCACTTGATCTAAGAATACCTTCTCGTATAGCAGCAAATCAACGCCTTCCAACTGACTTAATCGAACTAAATTTGTTCCAACCAAAATTCTAAGTTCTTTTCGTTCCATCTCACGTTTTTCTCGGTCCCGCGAGTGACCTTGATGTTGCAAGCGTACCCAAAGCTTGTTCATCTCAATAAAATTAGTGATAATAAAAGAAATTGAATCTTGAAGGTTTCCTTGAGGGCTAAATGACGATAATAATAATAACAAATCAGAATTACTTATGACATAATAATATTACTCGATAGGTTTTTTTTTTCTGTTACCCATTATCAATTCCAATTGGTAATGAATCCCTGGTCATTCCACTCAAATAATGTCTCAAGAATAGCCCGCGCGTTGGGTGTTGTACACCACGAGACATCTCCATCATATCCTTCATGATTTCTTTCACGGGAGCGTCCTTTTGTGACATATATACACTACCGACAGTAATCATGAGATATAAACGTGGAATGATATTTCCCGCGTATTGAACCAACTCATAAAGATCAGCAAGGTGATGCTTTCCAGAATTATGTGCGTCATTGAGATAAGTTGTTAGGTGCCGGAGAGCGTCAAAAATTGCCATATCTTTATAAACATTTCTTTTCGTTCAGGAAAATTAAATTTATAAAAATTTTGACAATAAAATCAATCAATCGCATAAATTTTCGTTATTTTGGGTAATAAAAAAGATACAGAGTTCATAATAGTTTTTTGGAGTTAAAGCAGATGTACGAAGCTCAGCCAACATCGTTGAGCAATGTTTTAAACCGTCCATGAGTTTGCTATTATCCTATCGATGAGAAAACATAGAAAGTAAGTGAGAAATCAAATTATTTCCTTTTTACGCCGAGTATAATAATAAACAATTTACCAAGCATTTTTTCATTTGAAATGCTTGAACTTTAACAACGTTCGAAGCTTCTTCTAAAAGTTTCGATTGATCCTCCATTTTTACAGAAGTTTGACGATTTGTCATAACCTTCTAGCAAGTCTAATTCTTTGCTTGGTAACCTTAAAATCGGTGTAATTTAATATCCAACACCTTTTTTTTTTTTATTTAAAATTGCAAAAGAATATTATTATTTAGCGAAAGAAAGGCAATTTATAATTGCTCCTTATCGAATTTTAAGTGTGACAATTTCTTGGACTTTATATTATGATGACGCACGTAGGGTTGTAAAGTCATTTAAATTGATTATCCAAAAATGTACATGATCCAATCTTTTTTTGGCGGCACCCTCGATCTTACTTTCTCCTTTTATATAAAAATCTTTTAAGAAAATTAAATATGCATCGTGCCTCACCAACTCAACTTCATAAACATGTTTCGCAGTTATTAACCGGAGGAATCATAAAAACGCTTCCAGCATGGTATTCAGCCATGAACAAATTTCCACCTGGTCAGAGCTTATTACGTAGTCCTTTACAGTTTTGTGAAAAAGATGTGTCAGGAAAGAAATTGCGTAACAAAAAAGCGACTTCCCCAAAACAC